GAGTAGCGGTGAACTGATCGTGAACTCCGATTTGACCATGTTATATCGAGGTGAAATTGATTTTGAAATAATTTTAGCTTTCAATCTAGAGACTGTGTCTATCGCAGAAAGTATTTACTTACAAATAAAGAGGTGCTAATTCCACAATTTTGACTATGCGCTACGCATCGTGCGACTAGGTCTATTGTTTATAAATTATAATCCACGACTGGCAGGATGCGTGTCGGTCGGTACGTAATTATACCAACAATCAGACAATAGTCCTCGTCGGAAGCATTTCCGTGGTGGTCACTAATTTTGAGTGACGGTTGGGGCCGACCGGCGTAGCGAACAAAGCTTTTTCACATCTGATATTGGCATGTCAAATATGAAATCAAGCGCCGAGGTGGGAACACATAGCGCCGAGGTCCCAAGTGAAGCGCCGAGATTCACAGGTATAGCGCCGCGGACCTCGGCGCTAAAAAGCCCTGGGGAGAACCCTGGGATGTGAATGCTGTGTACGTTCACCATGCACTCTGAAATTAATGCGAGTTTTCTCATAAAAGCACGAACCAAACTACCATGCCAATCACAATTATTATGAAATTAAACACACTTTTTAGACGCATATTTTAAAGAATATCGTCGACGCCCAGTAAAAACATTGTGGGCTTATAATCGTGAATGCCCTCAACTCGATAAATACCTAGTAAAAATAAAGGGATGGGCTTCATACTCGGGTGGGGGCTTACGATTGGGGAAGTACGGTACTTTAACCCAATTGGGCTTCCACTCTCAGAATACTGTGGTTCAAACGCATAATGCTCTAACCCAAGTTCTAAAAAGCACATTGTGCATATAAAAGTTGAGTTTATACTAGTAGTACACAATGCTTGGCAGCATGAATGGCTATGTACAATGGCGTATACGAATGTGATCAGATACTAAAACGTCATAGCTTTGAAAAGTACCCGGATGTTAAATATGTTCGTTCGTTATTTATTCCCCTCCATGAATGGCCTCCATGGTGTTTTATAATAATTGTAAGCACTTCAAATGGCCTATCCAAGCTACAGTTATAATTAAAACAAAATTAAACCGCTGCAAAATTATTTCGAATACAGTTTAGAATATACTGTGGAATACTTTATTTTCGCTGGAATTAATTTTCGCTGAAAAGGCTTTTTGGGCGTTTTGCTTGGAATTTATTTTCACTGATTTTTCATGAGTTTAATGTGAAATATAGGAAAAAAAGTATATTCGCTGGATTTTATTTTCACAGAATCATCTCTTCAGTGAAAATAGCGAAAATAAATTCCAAGCGAAAATAAAGTATTCTACAGTACACAACTATAAATTAAGGCCGCATTTAGGTTCACTTTAATTGTAACCCCGGATGTATTTTTACATGTTAAGTTGAAAAATGAACTTTTGAAATGGATGATGCATTGATATCATGGTTCATGGTTGTCTTGTTTCAAAATTTGTTATTGAGACAAATAGTATATTATAAATAAAAAATCGGGAAAAAATTAATAATAAATATATTTGAATTTTTAGCCCTCAAGTGACTGGGACTGACTTTTGCGAACATTTCTGCCCCTGTCAATAATGTTGTCTTTTTTCAAAAGCAAACATTTTGGCCGCTGGTGTTTTGCGTGTTATTAAAATGATCTTGTGTACCGATGTTAAAATTGAAATGATCACGTCATACTTATATACATTTTCTAATAACCTGTACGTTACAAGCATGGTTTATAATAATGTATGAGAAGTAATTAAATAAACGTGCAGTGTTTGCGATGTAAGAGATGTAAGTTAAAAAATATGATGTCTTGTAACAAATTTAGTGAATAACTATAAATACACCACGTTTGTTAAAGTATGAGACTCCATACAAATATTCAAACCAAAAACGTCAGGGCCAGAAATGTCTGACCGATCTATCTTACAATTAGTTCAGCCTATGCTCCTGTACGAATTAAGATAATCAGATGTTTTTTTCCATATCAGTTTGACCTAGTTGTGTTTTCACATGCAGGGATTTGTATTGAATACAGACTAAGGAATGACAAATCTTACTAAGAATATAAAAATCTCCAGGCCTTTTAACTTGGAGTTCTTAGTAGAGTGACCATTTTTAGGTATATGGTTATAAAACAATAACAATGTAAACGCAAAAATTTTTAAAATAACAGGAAGTAGTACAACGTCTCATGATAAAGTATATGCATGCTTATGTTGTGAAATGACTCGTCATGGATGTAATAATAAATCTTTCAAAAAAGACAACAAATACAATGGTATTTTATTATCATGGGTCATCTCGGAGGGCAATTAGTTCAAGCTAAGTGTTCATGCATATTTCATTGTCCCATACTGAGACTCAGGACCTGTCTTAAAAATGTAACAGATTTCAGATTTAGCTTGTTGCTTGCGTTTTCTTAGCCTGTTCTGAGCATTGGCAAACATTATCTTAGGATGGGCTAATGTTTTTGGCCCGTGCTAGTGAGCTAAACATGAACGCAAATATTTTTGTCAATTAATTTCATGTAATGTATATTTCTTTACATTCTCTATGAGGGTTTTTTGTGGGAATAGTAGTTATAAAAATTAATTACTATTTGCCAAGTTTTCTAAATAATGCAGTCAAGTTAAGTTTGACCATTGCCTGCTAAAAGCATCAACGGATAGTGGAAATGAATAAAAAAATAATGCTCTCAGCAAACGTGCTCACATCCACAGAATATCTACGACATACAACAACAACATGGAGATTTAAAACTCTTGGTGATTGTATAGTTTGAAGATTATATCAATTCCACATATAAAATGCTAGTTTATTTTATTCCTATAGGCGACTGTAGAGGAAGTTAATCCCAAAGCTTATCCACTGGCTGATCCACAGTTAACAAAAGAGATTCTTGATTTAGTTCAACAAGCTTCAAACTATAAACAGCTGAGAAAAGGTGCTAATGAAGGTATGTACTTGTTGGTATTACCGTAAAAACCCGCAAATAAGCGCCACCCTCAATTAAGAGCCACTCAGTGAAAATTTGTTACATTTGACCCTCCATTAAGAGCCACCAAGAGTTGAGTGGTTTTGTCAATAAGAACCCTGAAATAAGCGCCAGTCGCCCGGTTGTTTACAATCAGGCAGACACAAGCTTGTCGTGCCTCACTTCCACCCTGCATTGTTTATTGCCCCACAGAAGGTGAAAGACAAATAAAGTTTATCCCCATAACTTGCCTGATGTCCTGTGTAATTGAGAACGGAAGAATGCTAGACGAAAGAAATGAACTGAGAGCGTGAATGTGACTGTCAACTTGTCCATTTTATATTTCTGACACACAATCGACCAATTCACAAACTATTCAGTAGTAACTACTAGTATGTTTTTTGCCGAAACACCGAAGGATCACGTTGAGATAATAATCAAAATTGAAGTCGAATGGATTAGTTCCACAAACTTGCGCGATCAACTTGTCTTACAGCAAAGTGAAGTCTATGTGACCTGCTGACCCAAATATTTAAATTAGCTATTTGTGAGAATTGAAAATAATCTGAACTTGTACCAATCAGAAAATGCCTTGTAACAGGCCTGGGCTTTCGTGAATGATTTCGTCTCTCCGATTGGTCACAGGAAATTATTTTTAATACATGTAATTGTTACTTTCTCGGTATCGTTTCGTATTTGGTTATATAGGGTTTGACCCTGTTTGCGTGGACTATGAAGTACGTGAATATCATTAACATATCATTATAAGCTGGCGTGATTATGAAACAGGAAATATAAACCAAACGTCTAGCGCAATTAAAACAATGCCCAAGTACCCAAGCTGTAAAAATCTATAGAAAAACGTGTTTTTATTTATTGTTTTTGCCATAAATACAAGTGATTGGGCATCATTTTCTTCATTCGTTCCATGCTTGCTTTGCAAGTATGTCTTCTCCAGTC